ATCCAAAATGAGGATATTAAAGAATGGACGAGTTTTCTGGAATTTGGTAAGCAATATTGGGATATTACAAGCGACTCCATATTAATATATATTACCCAACAGACCAAATCCTCTATTAACACCAAGGAAGCATCGGATGTTCTTGTGAAACTTATGCCTGCCAGCTACGGCAGCAAAAGTAACGAGAAACCGGAGAATCCCGGAGAATCCGGAGAGAAGAAGAAGCCACAGCAGCAAACCCTTTTAAAGTATCCTGTTCTGCCACTGAATGAGACCTTGGATCGTTTTATGCTCACCGTCCAGCCTCTGCTCACGCCCGAAGAGTTTAAAAAACAGCAGGAAATTACAAATAATTTTAAAGAGAATGAAGGCGATAAGCTCCAAGAACTGCTTGAGCAGGCTGGTAAGGACACTTGTAACTGGCTGGCAGAACGATGGAAGAAAGTGGCCTATCTACAATATCGTGATCCTGTCACGGTTTACATTAGTCCCGGCATGACATTTCCCATGGAAAATTTTAAGGATAGAAATGACTTTATTAACTATACGGCCAAAGTCATATTTGGCCTGTGCGAATTTAAAGGCATTGTCGATGCTGGTAAGATACCAATTGTAAAAATGGGAAAAAATGAGCTGGATAACAGTCAGTTCGGCAAGGTCTTTGGCACCTGTCGTATACCAGTACGCATCGAGGACGAGATTCAATTCAATTCGTGCACCAAACATACTGTAATCATCTATAAAAATCATGTGGGTTCAGTTTATTAAATTCCTGATGACCTTTGATTAATTTTTGTTAATTCCAACAGTTTTACAAATTGACTTTATACGACAAGGACGATAAGGTATTGTCTGCTCCGACTATAGCCAAACTGTTGACAAAAATTATGGATTCAGAGACGGAGCGTGGTATACCTTTTGGCATTTTCACCACAGACTCGCGCGACAATTGGGCAGAGGCCTATGAGACATTGAGTAAGGATCCCCTTAATTGTGCGACCATGAAGACCATACAGTCGGCACTCTTCACCGTTTCACTGGATGAGTGTGTAAAGTACGAGCCCTCTGAACGAATGGATGAACTAATCCTATCACTGATCCATGGCGGAGGTAGCAAAGTGAACAGCGGCAATCGCTGGATGGACAAAACCATACAGCTGGTAGTCAATCCAAATGGAAACGTTGGCTTCACCTACGAGCATTCGCCAGCCGAGGGCCAGCCTATTGCTATGATGATGGATTACGTGGTGAAGAAAATGTATATTTGATTTAAGGGGTTGCACCAAAATGTTTCTAAACTGCATTTATTTCGTATTTTCTAGGGGCGACGACAAGAACTTTGGTGATAACGGTTCCTGTAATGTGCCCGAAGAACCAGAGAAGCTGAAGTTCGCTGAGATGACTCCATGCCTTGATCAATTGTTGTTCTTTTCCTCTACGAATATTGATAAGCTTGTCAAAAATCTGCAAATGAAAGTCCTGAAATTTCATGGCTATGGCAAGGGCTACATTAAAAGTGTGAAGTTGGGTCCCGATAGCTTCGTGCAGATGGCATTACAATTGGCTTTTTACAAGTATTTACGATTTATAAAAAAATTACACAGAAATATCTAATGGAAATATATTTTACAGATTACACAAGGTGCCGGCTGCTCAATACGAATCGGCGCATTTGCGTATCTTTGCCAATGGGCGCACTGAAACCATACGCTCCTGCTCGAATGAATCCCTCGCCTTTTGCAAGGCGATGACCTCGAGAACTGCCACCATCGAGGAGCGTGCTCAGGCGTTGCGTGCAGCTGTCGGTGGCCATCAGGCGTATACAAGACTGGCGCTGCAGGGACGCGGTGTAGATCGTCATCTTCTCGGTCTAAAGTTGATGGCCCTGGAAAATAATTTGCCAGTACCCGCGTTCTTTTCCTCATTGGGGTACACGAAATCAATGCACTTCCGTGTGTCCACATCACAAGTGGCCACCATTTACGAAGCCTTCATGGGCTACGGCCCGGCCACCGACGATGGTTATGCCTGTTGCTATAATCCACGTGAATGTGATGTTATCCTGGCCATCTCATCTTGGGCCTCTAACGAAGAAACGGACCCCAAAAAGTTTGCTGCGGCGATCACGAAGGCCTTCCTGGAAATGAAGGATGTTCTCGACAACGAACCTAAGAAGTCAAAGTTGTAGTGCCATAACAAATTATGTCTTATAATGTTGATTAAATTCTAAGTATGACCCAAGACTGAGGCTGTCTGGTTCTTTTTCTTAATCCAACATCCAGATCAAAATATCATGTTGTAACTCAGTAAGTTTACACATTCTAAACATATCACATTAGCGTTAGACATTTGTCTAGCTTCTAAATTTATTATAATCTTTCGATTCTTCTCTAAATTTTATAATGCGTGCATTAATCACTACTGAACCTTTCTTGAGCAAAGTGAGTATGCAATCATCAGATAATTGTAAATCTGCCTAACTCCTTTTGGACTTGCAACCGATTAGTCGAGGTATTCACGTACGTCAACCAGATCCAAATCGACGAGCGAAAAGCCTTTGGTGGCAAAGCTCGTGGAGTATGTAATGTCATGGGGCAAACCAGAGCAGGCTCCACCAAAACAGACTGAAATCAAGAGCGATCAACAGGAGAAAGTGGAGGAAGAGAGATGTCCGAAAATCAAGCAAATATCAGCGAATTCAGTGAATCCAGTGCAGCAAACTTACCATAGTAGCAATCGGTCAGATGGATCCCAATCAATGTACTATTCGAATTCCGCTCCAGAAATGAGAGTAGGTTTCGCCCCTGAGGCCAGAGCACAGCCAATGCCAGCTCTTAGCACCACCCGTGAGCATCTGGGCAAGGTAATTCCAGTGGACGAACATCAGCTTAACCAACTACTAATGCATCGATGGGAGAGTCAAGTGCCGAAGGGCTTGCTAAAGTATCCGGTTCAGCCGCTGCAGGAGACGCTCACGCGGTACTTGGAGAGCTTGCAGCCGCTGGTTAGCGACCAAGTCATGGATAAAGAGGAGGATTTAGCCGTGGATTTCCTGAGAAACCAGGGCTATGAACTACAGTCGTTGCTGCAACAAGCTGGCGAATCAAATGCCAATTGGCTCACCGATCGCTGGACCGATGTCAGCTACCTACGTTATCGTGCACCCCTCACCATATTTTCCAGCTCCTGCATAGCGTTCCCCAAGCAGAACTTTCGCAATAGCCTCGCCTACTTGGACTTTACGGCCAAAGCGATTCACGCCATGTGCCAATTCCATTGGATTGTGGAGAACAATCAGCTGCCCGTACGCAAAATGGAAGGCTTCGACCTGGACAACAGTCAATTCCACAATGTCTTTGGCACAGTGCGCATACCGCAGCGCTCTAGCGACTACCTGCAGCAGTGCAAGTCCAACTACATCGTAGTCATACACAAGAATAACGTGAGGCTATCTGGAATATATGTGTTGAGTGATAATTTGTAGTACAAATACCTCTCTTCTCTTATCCTTCTAGTTCTACAAGCTACCTGTTTTCGATGCTGTTGATAAACGTATCTTTAGTGTTCTTCATATCCGCAAGCAACTAATGAAGATTATCAAGTCTGGCAGGCTTCTGGGTCCAGCGATTGGTCTGCTCACCCACGACAAGCGCGACCACTGGGCCGAGGGGCACGAGATGCTGTGTCGCAAGGACGTGAATGCCGAGACAATTCAGTGCATCGAACAATCTCTCTTTACCGTCTCTCTAGATGATGCTATTCCCGTGCCCGCCGGCGAGGAGCGTGCGCTGCTAGCGGCTCAGCTAATGCATGGCGGTGGACCACATCTGAACAGTGCCAATCGCTGGATGGATAAGGCACTGCAGCTGATTGTTAATCCGTGCGGCTTGGCCGGTCTCTGCTGTGAGCACTCACCCGCCGAGCCCCAGCCGGCGGCGAGTATCATGGACTATATACTAAAGAGCGTGTATGTAGCGCACTGATTTTAAATCTTTTTTGAATTCTCTGGTATGGCATATATAATAATTCACTTCTGTTTTAGTCCCCATCCGAACTATGGACATAATGCCAACGAATCGCATAAAAATGAACCCCTAGAATGGCTCTACTTTGATGAAGTGGATGAATGTGTGACCTTCTGGTTGTCCACTGCCAATCGGACGGTGAATGAGCTCAGCAGTCGGCTCCAATTGCATGTCCACCGATTCGATTGCTATGGCAAGAATCTGTTGAATGCCCAGCAGCTGGAACCGGATAGCTTTGTACAGATGGCATTGCAGCTGGCGTTTTATAGGCTACACAGGGAGCTGCCCGCTCAGCTGGAGACGGCACATTTGCGCATCTTTAAATTTGGACGCAGCGAAATTATACGTTCGACCAGCAATGAATCTTTAAAATTTGTGCGTGCCATGGTTTCGGAAGAAACCTCGATTCAAAATCGTTTGTTTGCCCTAAAAGCCGCTGTTGATTACCATCGACAGCAGGCGATGATGGCGCTAAAGGGACGCGGCATAGATCGGCATTTCTTTGGCTTGGAACAGATGGCGCATGAGCATGGCAAAGCGTTGCCCCAGTTCTTTCAATCGGAGGGCTATATGAAATCGAAAGATTTTCGTATACTCAGCTCCCAGCTGTCGACGCCGCATGACTCGTTCATGGTTTACGGGCCGCTCAACTCGGATGGCTACGGCTGTTGCTACAATTTACGTGAAAATGACATTACGTTTACCGTAACGGCCTGGAATCACAACCCGCAGATTTCGGCCCGAAGCTATGGCATGGCTATCGAATCGGCATTGGCCGACATGGGACATCTTATTTTGGATTCAGGCAGTTGTACATCGGTTCTAGAATCTGAAAGTGATCGCACGCAGCGTTAAGGGCTTATCAGGATTTTTGTTTTTATTATCTGTATATATTGAACAAAAACAAGTCAAAAAAGGAAAAATTCAGTGGCTCAGGCATAAAAATCTAAATATATATATAATTTTTTTTTTTACATAATTTGGTGGATTCTCTAGTCCTTTTTGCAGTGATAGCAGCTGCAGGAGACGGCGCTCTTAAAGGTCACATTCCGTATGCCCTCGATGCAAAGCACGCGACGTTGTATCTGAATATATGAATTCATAAATTGATGTCTTGGCGAAACACTCTCTCTCTCTCTGTCTTGGGCACTCACCTCTTCGGATTTCATCATATTGCAGCACTGACCCACGGATACGACAGGCTTGGGTGGTCGAAATACGCCCGTCAACACAGATGGTACCGATGGCACTGCATACGATTCACAAAAGCCACGGCAAGCGTTCGTTGTAATCGTAAACTCGACACAGTCCGGTATGGATATCTTACGCGTGTTGCCCACCTTATGGCAGCCGGGACGCAGCCAGGTATCCTTGCCGGTGGCCACGCTGCTCTCGGCAGCCAGGAAACAGGAGCAGAGCAGCCAAAACAAAAAAGCCAATAGCGTTAGAGACTTCATCTCGGCCGTACCTCAATGCGAACTGTTGCCCGAGTCTCAGCTCAAGGTCCATTTTATGCTGGTCAGCGAGGAATATGACGCTTGCGCAAAGGACGAGCGGTGAATTTCCTTGGCCATGTGGGCTGCACTTAATGAGGAGTAAAGCACGGGAGGGTGGGTATAACTTGCCTAAAATATTCATGCATAGCAAAAAGGTTTGCATAGTCTGGTTCTTAATATATACCGTTAAAGTATTTAAAAAAAAAAAACAATCATATCCATTATATGCTAAATAAAACAATTTTATTGAAAAATTTTTTAAATCAGCTCAAAATATCTTATAGACATACAATAAGGATGCTTTTTAAATAATGAAGAATATAGAATAGTTTCTGGTAAAACTAGCAATCCAAAATGCCTACCAATTAACTAAATGATTGTTTTTCAGCGCGCTTTCATATGATTCATAGTCGACCCCCATATCCTTGGTTATATCATGCCATTGTTATAGTTCTGTGAACCTAGATGACGGTCCAGAAATACGATTCATTGCTAAATGCATCTAAACTAATATTAAATTATTGAATGTGATGTTTTTTTCCTTTTAGATTAATTACGGTGATAGCACCAATTTGAGCTAACTAAAAATACCATTGCATATCCCAAGGGAGCGACGGTGCTGCCTTTGTTTTTACATACTTTTTGTACGGTAAATGTGCTGAACTACCAGGCGAACAGAAATCAGCAGAAGAGTGACAATTTACAAATTAACAGTGCAAAAATGTTAGCTAACATGAAACTGTTAATTAACATACCACTGTTCATTAACACAAAGTTAACATAACAGGGGATATACATAACATGTACAGGGGGATAACATAATAAGATCATGTTGATTGGTTGTTAATTTACAGTCGATGTTTATGTTAGTTATGTATGATTACGTAGCAAACTATATATGTATATGGAATAAAAAGCATACGTATTGTATTACCGTTTTGACCATTGCTCATATCGCAAGGACTTTGACATTTAGGTTTACTAGGAATATATATGAATGGAATGGCTTATGCAAATTTAGGAGGGTACAAGATCTATGCAGAACAAATGAATAAACATGATTCTCTTAGGCTTTGCGGCAAATGTCTATAAAGCTTGTATTTAGTTTAGAAAACCAAGGCAATCTGAACATTTTTAAACTCAGCCTATGCCTTTGCCAGGCTTGTGGTACTCTGCTTTGTAACCAAAAAGTATAAAAAACAGAAAGAGTGGGTAAGTAAACTAATTTTGGTGTAATATGCGATAGCCAGAGGATTTGGGACAGAGAATTAAACCTGCTTAGAGTGCGTTCAGTTTTTAGTTCTCACTTAGTAGTCCCATTTCGTGCGTTACGAGAACTGTCTCGTTGTTGTTGATTAATTATTGAACATTATTTCTGTTCCTATTGTTAAATACGGAGAGATCTCTCCCCAAAAACAGCCCACAAAAAAATACAAAATATCAACAAAACGCGTTTCGCTTGGTAGGGTACCAATCTTTCGACAATCGTCGCATCCATATGCAATTGTTGTAAATCCATTTTTAAACCTGTTTCTTTTCCACATAATAAATCGAATGTTACCGATCTAGACAAGGACCAGGATTTCAGACCCAACCGAAAAACAAAATCGCTGGCTCGCTTACGCTATGAATCGGCAAAACGGTAATCATTTACATGGCATGAATGAGGGCCAACTGGAACTGGCACCGATCGAAATGGTGGACGTGGACATGGACGGCAGTTATCAAGGGGATGAACTTGAAAATAATCCCACACAGAAGCCATCCACTAAGTCCCTATCACCGATTGTCAGCGATCATGCTCTCAACGTGCTCAACGAGTTGCGCGAAGCGAATCTTCTGTGCGACGCGCAAATCTCGGTGGGTGAGCAGTCCTTCAATGTGCACCGTGCCATCATGTGTTCCTGCAGCTCATATTTTCGGTGAGTTGACGAATGTTGTTGACGCTGGAAATTGCAGTCTATTTTGGCAAAACCTTTAATATACAAACATAAATATGAATTTACACTTCTATTTTTTCCACGCTCCCAAATAGCAATGCAAACAGAACTTAATAGCCGGAAATTACACACATCTAAAAACAGTTGCTATATACATATCTCTCTCAACTTAATTAATCAAGTATCTACCAAACTACATACATACATACTAGTTTATTCAACTCAGTATGATAGTTTAGCACAAACAAACATACACCAAAACGAAACTGCCATTGATACGCATACGCAAATGTCTTTGGCTTAATGTTAGAAATTAAAGTTGAAAGTAAATAAATCATTAATCAGGCAACTTCAGTTTCCCAGAAAAAATTTGTTAATTGTTTTCGATTTGTCATTTAAAAATATCAAAACACAATATAATTCTTCGCAAACTGAATACAGCACACTCATGCAAATGTAAAAGATCGTGGTGGGCTTGCAATATCCACCTCACTGCAGATGTATGCCTCTCGCTTTTACTTACATAGTTCATAACTTACATCGCTCAGCGAGAGAGATGTATTCACCTCACACATGCCGGCGCGCGGATGAAGCGGTGCACAAGCATATGTGAGTTTACATTGTCGTCTGTGTGTATGTAATTATTAAATGAAGTCAGCCAATTTGAGTTTCAGTGGAAGTAAAGGTATGTTGGTGTAATTAAACTGTTTGCCACGACTTCAACAACTTACCAACACAATCAATAATTACAATGTGCTAAGCTATTTTGTATTTTGTGTTTTATTTTTGTTGCTGCTTCCATTTTACTGTTTTTCGGCAGCGCACAGTTTACGGGGTTTAACAGCCGCACCGGTGCGGGAAATGAAGAGAGCCGTGTCGTACATATACCAGGGATCAGTGCGTCCATCATGAACTGTGTGATACAATACGCCTACCTACGCAAGACAAACATCAGCGACGATAACGTGCACGAGCTGCTTATTTGTGCCGACTATGTGGGTATGGTGGGGCTGGTCAAACAGTGTAAAGACTACCTTAGTCACACACTGAGCCCGGAGAACTGTGTCAGTATCATGGGATTTGCGCGGTTCGTATGAATTCGTTTTACCCCACTTTTTCACTAATCTACTTACACTTCACATCCTCCACTTTCCACCTTCAATACTAATCTCGTTTAATTGCAATGACGAATGATAAATATTAATCCATTTTTAATTGATTGACATTTTGCCTTGTGCCATTTTGTAGTTTCCGTTTCCTCGAGGACTTGTATCAGAAGGCGCGCAATTATACGCTTAGGTACTTCACAGATGTGGCCGCCCGGAATACAGACATACTAGACTTGAACATTAAGGACTTTTACAGCATTATTAGTGATGACGAGCTGAATACACGTGAAGAGGATTACGTTTGGAAGCTGTGCGTCAAATGGATTGACCGAGATCCAGAGAACCGTAAACAGCATGTGGCGCATCTGATGACGGGCGTGCGCCTTGGTCTGATGACCCCCAAGGTAATCAAACATATGCACAGTTTTAAAGTACAATTAATTATTTTAATTGAATGGTGAATTCTTAGTGCTTCATGGAGGAGGTCAAGGAGCATCCCTATGTCATTCAATGCGAGGCTGCCAAGCCGCTGATAGTCGATACCTTTAAATTCATGTATGATCTGGACTTTCTTAACCCACAAGCCGAAGAGGTAATGCTAACACTCCCTCTGCTCCTGCAGCAGCAACTTATACGTGCCATTTGATTTGCCCTTTCAACCCAAGCTAACGACACCACCGCTGGCGATGCCCCGACTGCCTCACGAGGTCATTTTCGCAATTGGCGGCTGGAGTGGTGGCACATCGAAGGGGTGCATCGAGACTTATGATACACGTGCCGACCGTTGGGTCAATATCAACGCCGAGGATCCAGCTGGACCACGCGCCTACCATGGCACCGCCGTACTTGGCTTCAAAATTTATTCCATAGGTGGTTATGATGGCGTCGAATATTTCAACACCTGCCGCGTCTTTGATGCCGTCAAAAAGAAGTGGAACGAGATCGCGCCCATGCATTGCCGCCGCTGCTATGTCAGCGTCGCGGAGCTAAATGGCATGATCTATGCCATTGGCGGCTACGATGGACACAATCGCCTCAATACCGTCGAACGCTACAATCCCAAGACTAATCAGTGGTCAATCATTCCACCCATGAACATGCAGCGATCCGATGCGAGCGCTTGCACGCTGCATGGACGCATCTATGCAACGGGTGGATTCAATGGCCAGGAGTGCCTGGATAGTGCCGAATACTATGATCCCCTGACCAATGTCTGGACGCGCATACCAAATATGAATCATCGTCGCTCCGGTGTCAGCTGTGTAGCGTTCAGAGATCAACTCTATGTCATTGGCGGTTTTAATGGCACATCCAGACTGTCAACTGGCGAACGATTTGATCCGGAAACCCAATCGTGGCATTTCATACGCCAAATGAATCATTCGCGCAGCAATTTTGGCTTGGAGATAATCGATGACATGATCTTTGCCATTGGGGGATTCAATGGAGTCTCCACTATCTCGCACACGGAATGCTACGTGGCCGAAACGGACGAATGGATGGAGGCAACGGATATGAATATTGTACGTTCCGCGCTATCGGCCAACAATGTGGCTGGGCTACCCAACAAGCGCGACTACATACACAAGGAGCGGGATCGTCTGATGGAGGAGCGGCGTCAGCGTCTAATGGCCACAGCAATGGCGCGCGAAGATGTTGGCAGCACGAACCGTTCACAGTCGATGGTGGATAATGATCCGGCCCTGGATGACTTAGATGATGAAAGTCCCAATGAGGATGTCGATGGTGAGGAGCTGCAGTTGCCGCAGCAGGCGGCTTTACCACTGCCAGCTCCTGGCATAGCGCCTGTAGCCTCAGCTGCTGCTATCGATGCAGCCGTCTTGCCAGCCGCCAACCTCAATCGCCAGGCTGAGGATCGAGGCCCCGACAATAATCGGCGCTTTCGGGTGCAGCTGCGTAATCAGCGCTATGGCTCGCATCATGAGATACGTCGTCGGTCGTAGGCGCCGTTCGCGCCATGTTGGCTAACGTTGAGCCATCCTGACATACTGAACAGGTCAACTATCCTCTGATCTCACCCTTCTTACCTTGAAACCGGCTGTGACCCCATAGAGATTTAACAACCACCGGCGAATTTGCCCAACGAATATGTTTTGGAGGCGTACGTACACACAACACTAGAGGATGCGTTAGCGTGGGTAAAGGTATTCTGGTGCAGAAATTCGCAGCGTGGCCCACGTCCATAGAAACCGTTTTTTTTATTAACCTTTCGATAGCTCACACAATTCTTGGCAACTTAACTTCAAATTTTATTGCATAATATGAGGCGCGAAATATGTTTTGTTGCCAGAATAATAACGTTTCGGCCATTTCATCATGAAAATTCCGTTATCCAAATTTCTCATGGTATTACAAAATTCTTTGCATCATACACAATAAAATGCAGAATACTAATAATACTAAATGATGTTTCTCTAAAAATATCCCCTAAATTCAATTTAATTTGAAATTCAAATTGTTAACGGCAAATGAAGTCCATTTGGATTTCATATGCAAAACTTCAAGCAATTATCAAGTTTATATTTAGGCTAGCCATTCCAAGCAAATAGCTGACCGATGCGCAGACGCCGCGACGCAGCTGCAGCCGCCTCAGGTATAAATACGTATAGATGCTGCGAGAATTAAACAGAACGCAGCCGACTGCGACGCAAGCAGCACGCATACAACAGCAACTCCAGCCAAGCAAATAAGAGAAAGCTTTGAAATGCTTGCAGTGTTGTAAGTTACGAAAAACTGCATCAATTTGAAAGTTTGCTAACTGTCATATACATATCTATAAATTGTTATAAACACAGACTACCGTTGATTTTATTGGCCTCGCCTTGGTTGCGTGTGGGCGATGCCCAATTGGTTGATCTGCAGCCAGTTTACACTGGACCCACAATCGCGCCACTCGGTTGCCATCGACGCTTGTACACGTACCGCGTGACACAGTCGGATTTGCAGGGACGCGAATGCTGGGATTTCGTGAGCGTCTGGAGCTGTTGGGGTCGCTGCGATTCCAGTGAGATATCCGATTGGAAATTCCCCTACAAGCGCTCCTTCCATCCGGTCTGTGTGCATGCGCAACGCCAGCCATCTGTGGCCACGCTGAAAAACTGTCATCCCGAGGCAGACGACAGCATACGTAAATACAAATATATGGAGGCCGTAAATTGTCATTGCCAGACCTGCTCCACGGAGGACACCAGCTGCGAGGCGCCAGCCAACAATGATGTGGACGAACGCAAAAGTGCTAAGGTTTTAGCCTTAACTAATGATGACTCTGGTGCACTCGACTACTAAACGATCGTAGATAACAATGCGTAATAATAGTAGTAGTAGAACACTTTAGTTGTAGTACAGTGTCTTGGCGCATTTATTATAATATAATAAAGCTTTTCATTTAATGGCAAATTGCATTTAAAGCATACCACTTTATTAGCTCGATTTGATTTACATGATTTTTTTTGGTTATCTGCAACAAGAATTTTGGTGTGCCAAATGTCGATTTTAACATTTAAACTAAAAAGAAAATTCTTACGTGTCCAGATAAATCTAAATATATATATACGTATATATATATATACATCTATAATGTGTGTGTGTGTATTTTTTTTTAATATAAAACAAAACTATATATTTGACGGTTAAGCGCTGCGAAGCGATTCCTACACAAGCACTCATGTGTACACATTTCTGCCATAAGCCACAGTTAGGTTGGCAGCTATAGCTATTCACTTTTACTAAGGACTACGCCGCCGTCGCACCTACAGGAATTTTGGATTTGAGTTTGTGTTGTTGCTCTCTTGCGCCAACAGGTATAAGCAATAGAGCGATGATATACCCAATCCAATAGCTCCACCCAGAGCACACTTTCGCAGGCCAGCTAAAAATACAAATAATTAAAATATATGATTGAATATAATTGGAAGGACTTAGCCAAATTACCTGTGGATTTGTAGAGCAGGCCTGTGGCAGAACCGGCTATGATGGTGTTTATATTATCATCCTGATCCCGAACATACTGCAGCAACACACCACACGCCGAGTACAGCACAGCCAACGTACCTAATGTATTCGCTGTACCGGATCCCTGTTTCATGACGTGATTGATTAATCTACAAATAAAACAGACATTAGCATATACGTACAGAAAGTAAGATAGACCGAGAGTGCATTTACACTCTACATACGAGATAATCGTATGGCTGATTAATCACTTACTGGGTACGACGCAGCTTCCCCGTCTGATTGAGCGCATTAGTAACTTTAATGCCATTGTAGACCCCCGCCAAACCGCCAATGCCACCGCCAATCATCACAGATGTGCCAATTTGTGAAAAGGCCAACTCAAAGCGTCCACGCTGCTTGTTGGCGCCCTCAGGAAATATAAATTCTGGCTGCGCCTGTTGCAGGAATCGTGAATCATAGTTGAGGTATGGCGAGACGGGAGCACTACTGAATGTGCTCGCAGCCGGTGTGTAGGTTGTTGCCGTTGTCTGTGTGTCGTCAACTGCAATGCACAAATAACAAACAATTGAATTGTTGATTTTCATTCAAAAAACAGTATATGTAATCGCTTGTCCAATTGCGTAATGAATGCCTCGGCGACCGTTGCTTACCGGCTGGTGAGGGAGCTAATGAAAACGGTTTCCTTAAGTAGTCGTCACTCATTTTGGAATTTAATCGCTTGCCTTGCCAAGGTTAGTTACTAAATTACGATCAATCAGATGTCAATTTATTGAAGCTTACAACACAAATGGGAAACGAGTGCGTTTCCCGTGCTCTGCTTATGTTTCTAACTTTTTCTAACTTTGTACTCTTGTCAGCGTGACATATGTATCGCACGTGTGTTGTTCAACACTTTCCGAGATGATATTTCTCAGCACTTCGACATTTCTATTTTGTTTGCTGAGGCCAGTACGCAGAACCAATAAAACAGCTGTTCAACAATCAGCTGTTGCGTTCTGCTTCGCAACACTCGCGAAGCGGCTCTATCGTTATCGGGCTGAGCGCGTATTTTGCAGCACTACGGCTGTGGTTTTCGTTGCGTGCGGTTGTGTTTTGATGGTTGGTTTTATGTGGTAGTTGGCTGTCCCATTGTCCCTAATTGAAATAGAGAAAATTAATAATAAGTGTGTGCACCCATAAAGCAAAGGGAGTTATTGTCGAGGACAAAGAATTACAACGAAAACAGCCCCAACGAATCTAAAACGCGTAGTTTCCGAGTGTTTTCGTTGCTGTTGCCGTTGTTGTTATTGGTCTGGGAGTTGAAAAAGAACCGGAGTGGGAGCAAAGGTAGCCGGCATTTGAAGTGTATTTGTATTTACTTTGGCTTGCCGAGCCTGTACTCTATCTTAGCCGTCATAATCATGTCGTCCACTGAGGTGAAATTGTCGCGTCTACTGGGACTAGCGCAAAAGTTTAATAACTTCTACTTGACAGGTGAGTAATAAGGCTAAGTTCATCAGCGTCTTGATTCTCTTTGTTGTTGTTTTGGGTTTGGCTCTCCTTTGGCGTTCTCCTTTCGACCATGAAAATGGGTTTGGCCGCCACTGAACCTGTACATACACACTCATACACACACACTAAGCACACTAGCTCACATTGTGGGCGGCTTGGGCGCCAATACAATGGGCGCAGCATATACAGTTTACTGCATGTGCAGTAAGAGCGAGAGCAAAAGAGTGCAAATTATCGATTAGTTTGTTTACTTGCGTTTGCAAGTGTGCGTGTAAGTGCGTTTGTGTTTGTGAATGTTTGTGTGCAGTTTGCTGTTGGTGCTGCTGCGACTGCCAGCAAATGTCTCATTGCCATTTCGTTTCGAAGCATCCAATCAGCAGCGAATTGACATTGAAATTAATTTCCTTTTGGCTATTTTTATGCCTTGGCAAAAATCTTATCCCTCTAAGTATTTTATTGAATTTAATGGTGTTATCGATCTGCCCACTTCCGTTCGATAAGTTCACCTGTTGCGCTGACGCTTGTAATTCGATGATAGCACTAAATTATTTGGTTGTTTACCACCACGCTGCTGTTGCTGCTGCTACTGCGGCTGTTGCCCGCTCAGGTTTTCGCAGTAATAAACGCTGTCATACACAGCCCAACAGCTGTGCCCTATCGGATTTCACTTTATAATTCCTGACACATTAATTGCAATTAAACAGAATGCTAAATAAACAAGCGGCTCTTATGCAAGATCATTTTTATCAAGCATGCGCTTAGTAGTATATACATATATTTAATCTATAACAAATTTTTAAATTTAAGATGACTAAACTTAGTCACCGATATATTTTTATATAAATATAAATATCTATAAGTGTCTATATATGTAAGTATATGTACCCATGTGAGTGTGTGCGCTTTGATCGCAGCGTAGCAATTTTACAAATTATTTGCCACTGATTTGGTCTTGTAACCAGATTTTTATCGCATCACCTTGAGGGCAACTTTTAGCATTTTTAGTGACAACCAAAACAACAACAAAAACATGCAACAACAGCTGAAGCATCTCATGCACAAACACATCGAACTATACTTGCTATAAAAATCAGATATATACATATGCATGTATAAGCATGTGTACATATGTATGTATATTTAGAGATAGATGTTTATGGCTTGATTAAGTGCAAAAAATGTGACATACACAGGCAAACATACATATGCTCACTTAATTGGGATAGAGCAGTTCTCTTTTCCTCTGTCTTTCTCACTCTTTCGCTCTCCCTCTATTCTTCTCTATGTATTCTTCTCTATTTACCACTCTTTAGCTCTCTGTCTTCGCTGATAAGCGGCATGCGCGCTTTCTGCTATTCGGCATGTTATTTTGTTTTGCTTTCAACTATTTCAACTTGTTTTGCTATGAATCTCGAAATGAATTTGAATATAATTTGTTGTTGTTTTTATGTGTTCCATTTTGTTTCTATTTATTTGCATACCCTGAATTTCGTGGGCGTACTTCAGTAAATTGATCAAAATGTTTCGCATTTATTTCTCACGCAGATCAAAATCGAAAGATTCCAATCAGAAAGGGCGGCCAGATTCCTATTGGGATTGTACATTCTTATGTCACTCATAATCTGCGTTGCGTAATTGGTTTTACTTTTTAATCTAATTAGATTTATATTTCGTTCTGATAGCCTCCTTACACTTACAGGGTATGGCATTAATGTTATTCGAATTATCTTGTTTGTTTATACAATTTTGCTTTAACTGCTTTTTCTCATTTCAAGTTGTTTATCTATAGATTTTAAAGCGAAAAGTAAATGAGCACTTATTGTTTATGTTGTGTTCGCTTTTTTGTTCTCCTTCTATATACATACATATGTACATATGTACATAAACTGGCAAGTCTAGTGACGCAATAATTCGGCTTAGCAATTTATAATTCAACGACGATCTCTCTGACCGGTACAAACTAGTATATTGATTTCATTATCTGCAATATCTGGACTTAACACACATTTGATAAAAGAAATAATATTGCCAATATTCGATTTCATTTATAATAGGTGCTGCTGATTTTGAGTGGCCAATTACAGTAATATGTCAATCAAATAAATATTTATTTTTAATCCAAGGCAAAACAATTGCTAACAAAAATCTCTTGTCGACCTTTATATGTGTATACATACATAAATTGGTCATATATGTATGTAGAATGATACGACTTTAAAGCTGATAATAAAGACTGGTACATATCCATATATGTATATGTTTATAATATGTATGATTAATACCAATGTCAGTTGCTCAGACTTGTTGCATTGCTTTGTTTGTTCAAAAAAAAAAAAAAAAATCTAAATAAATATACTTTAGCAATGATAAGGCTATAATTAGCCGCTTTTCCAGTGAAACTACCTTGTCATATTGAAGATATACCCTATATCAAACTTTTGTTAATGGTTTTCGTTTTCGATTCAAACAAAAAGTACTTAAGTCTAATTATTTGCCTATTATTTCTATTAGCTTTTAGGTCTTTCGACTTATCTAATCAAATAGCGCGTGCTGTGTGTGTGCCAATCGAGCCCAGAATGAACATTTTTAAATTTCAACACTGGGAAAAGTGTTTCCTGTTAATGAAACGTTGAACGATTCTCAGCCGAAACATCGATTGAGCATTGAATATAAGGCGGCTTATCATAATTATGCAGTAATAAACAGTGGTTTTGGTGATAACCAAGTTTCAAATGCCTAGAGCACAAATAAATATATTTGTCTAGGTATTGTCTTGTTGCCTTTCATTTTAGTTTTGTTTATAGAGCATGGTATATAATATTATTATTAAATGATTCTCATAATACAATAAATGTACTAGGAATTTTTAGTGGACTGAACTGAACTGATATGAGTCATACAGATACTTTTCATTCTTCCATATTTTCTGTAAGATCTGTACAAAAGTATTTACCTCGTATAGACATTTTATTATCATACTTTTTTCAGATTCATACAGTATTTACAGATTTTATGTCTTACAGATACCTTTGCAAATCACAGATAATTTAATCTTACTGTCACACACAAACACACACACACACACACACACACACAAATTTCATATAAATCACCCTTACCAATAACAGGGTAAACTTAAATTAAATTACAAATCGAATCTAAGGTATTTCTTTGTTAGCCACAATTCAATTAGGCCAACATCTACCTATAGGCCATTTCAAGTGTAATTCTTCTATGTCTAATTAACGTTAATTGTGTCGCAGGCTTTCATAAGGATGACATACGTCCATTTCTGGTTGGGGGTCAGCAAGTCGGTCTCATTAAAGCGGACGTCTACAAGCAGCTGCTCAAGTTTCCTGAAGTGTTCTGCATACGTGACTGTCAATATACCAAGCAGGTGAATATTTGCCAAAAATAGCCACAGCTCCATCTGATGTGTATATTCATGCATATATATTATTAAATTTGGTAGGGTCTGGTGGAGCTGAATCCGGCATTCCGGGACTATAACGAACGTACCGTACACCTGGATGAAGTATTACGTAGTCTGCGCAGCGATGGTTCGTTCTCGGCATTGAAAGGATGGCGAGACGAGTGCTTCGAGGTGAAGTTCGAGCACAAGGCACTGCTGAAGATGGAGCGAGCGGCAACGCCGCTGTTTGGCGTGCGCAAATATGGTGTAGACATCAATGGATATGTGCGGCATCCGCAGCACGGCTTGTGCATTTGGCTACAGCAGCGCTCCAACACCAAAGAAACATGGCCTGGCAAATGGGACAATATGGTGGGTGGCGGTCTATCCGTTGGCTTTGGCATTATGGAGACGGCCGTTAAGGAGGCCGCCGAGGAGGCATCCATTCCAAAAGATCTCGTCAAGAATCTGGTTTCAGCTGGCTGTGTCTCGTTCTTTTTTGAGAGCGACCAGGGTCTGTTCCCTAATACTGAATACGTGTTTGACTTGGAGCTGCCAGTGGACTTTGTGCCACAGAACGCCGATGGCGAGGTGCAGGCATTCGAGCTGCTGCCGGCCAACGAGTGTGTGGAGCGCGTTTTTACGCCAGATTTCAAGACAACATCGGCGCCCGTCGTTATCGATTTCTTAATACGACATGGCTACATAACAGCTGAGAATGGTATGAATTTATCTTCGTATAATCTTTCAAGTCTCTTCTAATTTAATGCGTCTTGTAGAAATAAATTTCACGGAGATTGTGGAGCTGTTGCATGTGCCGCTGCAGTCATTGTACACGTACAAAACGCGTCTGGAGCAGAAGCTGCAGCAGCACCAGTCGACACTGCCCAAGGACGATAACAACTGCAACTGTGACAGTGTGCCAAAGAGGCCGCTAGAAAACGGGCACAACAAAAAGGATGGCGCTTAGGCCCTAGCATAATGGCAACGGAAATTGAACATCGAATGGGAAATGAAAAGTGAATTATGACCGCTGCATGGATGAGCTGTGGATTTGTTTGAGAGACTGTTTTTGTAGTGGGATTTGTGAAATCCAAAAGAAAAAGAAAAAACAACAGCCAATAATATACACACAAATACATATATACTATATAATATACTATAATATAGAGGAAAAGGATAACGAAAGTGGTGAGAGTAGCAAAACAACCAATCAACCAACCAACCAAACGAAACGAAACAAGTATAACCTATTAAACTAATTATTATTTAATATAAAGGCAACACTTTATTTTATGTTTACATTGCTGTGTGGAAGTCAAAATGTATGTACTTTATATATATTAGTATACGCATGCTTATATGGGTTACTTATATATTTATGAAATTATTTACAATATTTATTATATATATGTACCACATGCATAGGCATAAACATAAGCTAAATATACATATTATATATACTTACATATATCCTACTATATATTTGACAAAAATGCCCGCAGATAAATTATTAATAGTTTGTGCTTTGATATTCCAATCATGTAACAATTACAAATTGAAGTGACGCCACATTCTTAGAGTTTTTGTGAAGAAATTAATACTAGTGAACACAAACGGACAAGTTATATAAATATATATATGTATATGCCTATATAACACATTTATATAAATATATATGATAGTTAAAATATAAATTATATGTAACGAGATATTAAAATGACATTTACTATTATGTGTGTGTGTGTACCAAAGTGCTCAAACTTAAGCAAATATTTAATATTAATTAGTTTTCTGTTGAATTTGTAAAACTTTTTTAACTTAATAAAATGAAATACTTAATTGGCGCTCGATTGAATTTAAAATCAGCTCGTGACAGCACGAAACTCACGACTTGTATCAGAAAGAGAAAAAATCAAAATATATCGAAAAATCAGCTCTGTCCAGGGCCACGCAGCTTATTATTAAGAGCTGCCAGCCCTGCGAAAACGTCAAGTCCCAACGAGTGTGGCAACGCTAAATAGGTAGCCATTTTTCTTTCTTTCCCCAACTTCACGACCGCGTGGACGTCGATACGTAAAAGGTTAGCGAATATTTTGTAGAAATTGCACTAAAATTCAATAAAATGCAACTGAAACGCGTGTTAAAATGTGCGGGCGTGTGCCTTGTACATGAGCATTCTGAGAAATGTTACTAAAAGTGTTTGTTTATTGCAGGGAACCACAGCCAACAAAATGACGAACTCGAAGGGATACCGTCGCGGCACCAGAGACATGTTCTCTCGCCCATTCCGCAAGCATGGTGTCATTCCCTTGTCCACATACATGCGCGTCTTCAAGATCGGCGACATCGTTGACATTAAGGGACACGGTGCCGTTCAGAAGGGTATGCCCTACAAGGCCTACCACGGCAAGACTGGCCGCATCTTCAATGTCACACAACACGCTGTTGGTGTCATTGTAAACAAACGCGTGCGCGGCAAGGTTCTAGCCAAGCGCATCAATGTGCGCATTGAGCATGTTCACCACTCCAAGTGCCGTGAGGATTTCCTGCGTCGCGTCAAGGAGAACGAGCGTCTGCTCCAGGCTGCCAAGAAGGACGGCAAGTGGGTGAACCTCAAGCGTCAGCCCGAACAGCCAAAGAAGGCACATTTCGTTAAGAAATTGGAAGAACCCATCGCCCTGGCGCCAATTCCATACGAATTCGTTGCCTAAGCGGAGCCGACGAAGAGAAGAGATGTGTTTGTTTACGATTTGTATCAGTGTAGATTGGTTAATTCTAAACTAAGTTTTAAATAGAATTGATTTTCTATATGATTGCCGTAAACAATCAGTTAACTGTTTTGTTTTTCTCGAATAATTCGGGGTGAATGCAAATGCAGGAATAACGGGCTGCTATCGGAATAGGCGAAAACAGCTGTGATCGACATTCTTCTTCTTTCTAGTAGTTGAGTCGCTCGTGCTTCCGAAGCAAGACAATTCTGAAAGAAAAAAATGAAAAATATTGAAAAATTGAAAAGTTTAAACACCTGTGATACATGCGGCAAGTGCTTTATGAAGCCTGCTTTGCTCCGCCGACATCTGGTTGTACACAGCACAGAGAAGGCATTTCCAGTAAGTTTTGCCATGTGCTCAGAAACCTTTTATGGATTTTCTTATGTGCATATGCATAAATTTATTGCAGTGCGAAAGCTGCTGCAGTCGTTTCTCTCAAAAAAGTTCACTGCTACGTCACAAACGCATCAAACATGATATGGCAAAGGAGTGCGACGACTCCGAGGTAGCGCAACATGCACTGGCTGCCCTAAAGCTATTGCAAGGCAGCCATACGCCGGCAGATAGTTCAATTGCTACAGGTGCAGGTTCGTTAGGTTCACTGGGCACTCTTGAAGAGAAACCATCTTGTCATGTAGTACAACTGAGGGACAAACTGAATCCAGCTGGTGAAGTCCACATGCTCATCACACAGCGCATAGTGCGAAAGAACCCCAATCGATGCTACTATGTTTGTGAATATTGCGCTAAAGAATTCAGCAAGAGTTACGATTTAATAAGGTAAGATTAGCAATTAGGAATACACACATACACAAGAAATAAGCAACTGTGCTTGCCAGGCATCGTCGCTCGCACACCAAAGAGACGCCCTATCCATGCAATCAATGCTTTAAGAGGTTTTCTACACAGAGCAAGCTCAACGAGCATCACAAGCGTCTGCATGCTGCTGTGAAAAAGCATGCATGCAGCGAATGTATTTCTAGCTTCAGCAGCAAGAATAAGCTGCACAATCACTTGGCTGAGAAACATCCTTATATGGTGTATAGCTGTACGCACTGTAGTCGCACCTTCCAATCGAAATCGGCCTATGAAACACACATGAAACTAGAAGCAGATCCGATAGAAGGAAAACTCATCAAATTGTTGCCGCAGCCAGTGCTGTCGCAACGCAGCTACAAGTGCATCTACTGTGAAAAACAATTCAAACGCAAATTCAACTGTCGCACACACATGCTGCTGCATCTGCGGCGTTTGGTAGACCCAAAACAGATTAAGCATAGTTGCCTGCAATGTGGCAAAGAGTTCAAGCGGTCCAACGACTTGGCCCGTCATTTACTAACTCATTCCAAACTCAAGCTCCACATATGTCACGTATGTCAAAGACGCTTTACCCTAAAGTCCACATTGGCCAGACATCTGGAAACCCATCAGCCACAGCGAAGCAACGTAAATTGTCAGGTGTGTGGCAAGAGGTACGCCTCCAAAACATCACTGCAGCTACATCTGCGTTTGCACACCGGCGAACGGCCCTTCAAATGTGAAATTTGCGGCGAAACTTTTCGTACATCGGGACACAGACTGGAGCATATGCGAGCCGAACGGCACAAAAGTGCATCGTCGAATGAACTCATTCTTTGATCAGATTTACATCATATTTTAAAGTCTATATTTCATAAATACCAAAATAATATTACATCTATGCCCCCACTTATTGGTTGAACCCAGGTGAAGCACCATAGTAAAACTGTTTATCAAACTGTTGGCTTTTGGACAGCTCGCTGATCTTTTGCCGTTTATCTGCCAGTATGAAGTCATCATCCTCAATCATTTCGGAATCGCCACGCTTGCGACGCACAGTCTCAATTGCCACATTATCCGCCGACTCTTCCATCTCATGTACTCTATAGACCAGATAGTTTGGCTCAATGTATTTATTGGATCTGCGAAATGAACTAGAATAATAGTCGCATTCATATGGTCGAATAGATTGGGCAACTTACAGTGGCAGAATATATGGATCGAAGGGGAAGAACGTTTCAAGCGTTTCCTCTGGCATCAACTTGTCATGGCCATAGATGGTAGCTAGCTTGCGACGTGCATTGCGCTCCAGCACAGTGTGACAATACGCCAATTGGTGGGTACGTGTGACGCCCGCAAATGCAGTTGCCACCGGTGGCAGGCAGTAGCGCAGTGGATTGAAGTGGCACATGGCCAACCGGGACAGCTGTAGTGTATTCAGCAAAGTCAAATCTAAAACAAACAAAATTACTAGTTAATATCAGCAAGTAAACCTTTTAAGCATATACAATTACTTTTATGATTAATAGTCAAATCGCGCGCACGAAAAGCGATTAAATAAAACATGGCCTGGCAGACGGAGAAAAAAACCATGTTAGCTTTGAGGGAGCTGTTTTTGCTGCTGAATTCATCCGAGTCATTTATGTAGTTATTTGCCCAGTTGCTCAGTTCCTTAAGATAGTAGGTAATGGTGCTGAAATCAATCTAACTTAGTACATAGTAATAAACAGGATAACAATGGACTTACCTCAGCGGTACAAATTTCGCACGGGCCAAAAAGCTGGCAATATAGCTAACAGCTGCATGACGTATGATTGAAGATACATTTGGATTCTGCACTTTTTGCCATAGGGATGTGAGAAAGATCTCTGCATAGGCTGGACGAATGCTGCATGCATAAAAAATGACGAACTGAACGTGATGTGTGTTATGGCTGGGTAGCAGCACTTCATCAAATATGTGAACAAGCGTCTTGAAGAATCGAGATTTGGCAATCCGCTGGTCATCGCTACAATCAGGTTGCGGACGGCATTTATCGTCCACAAACTTAAAAAGCTTCATTAGGCATATGTCCAGCATTTGTCCAATGGGATGCTCTAACGCTTGTGGAGGTTTAGGAGGAGCGCTCACATCGTCCATTTGAAATATGGCCTCATCTTCCATCTTATCGTCTTCGTCATCGGTTTCCTCTTTGAGCGCTTCAATTTCATCGCGTGGCGCATTTACGTCCAGTATGAGCAGCCTGCCAAGAAATTTAAAATAATTAAATGCTCTTCAAATAAATCAGGAGAATTTGCTTACTTTTGCAGAACCAGCTGCAACAGTAGCTCCTCGAACACCGGCTTGTAATCCATCAGCCACAGCACATTATGCAAATAGCCAGCCGTGACATGAGCTGGCTTTTTAAAGTACGGAAATTTAGCTGCAATTGTATCAATAACCACATCGAAAGCCATGGGCACAGCGGTTAAAATACGATTGAGTAAATTATGCACAGTTTCTAGTTCAGCCTTCACACGTTCCGATGGGCAGCCATCCAGCCATTCAGCGGATTCCTGATCGCTAGGTATCCAATTTAAAATTAATTTGGTTATTCCAATTTGTATATACGAGTTGTGTGCGATCATAACATCGATGCTAAATTCTGTGTAGGCTTGAATGGCGGCCGGGCTATACTTCTTCCAGTTAACAGACAGCAGGGCCTCAACAAGATTGGCAAAATCCGGTGTCAAGCTGTGTACTATTTTTCGAGCATCCTTCATAATATGTACGACTTCATCGTCCTTTAACAAGACGCGTAAGTTAACAAAATTATGCAATAATATTTGGCTCTACTTACACAGAGATCAGCTTCTCGAAGAAAGTGTGTAAACTCCTGAATCAAATGAAAATTGTTTTCTTCTAATGCGACACGCACCGATTCAACGATGCCCTTTTCCTTGGGCGTGATAAAGCGCACTTTGTTAAGTGCCGCTGCCTTGACGCGCTCGCGATCCGCACTGGAGAAGGGCTTCAGTATGGATGTATTAGTCGTTTTACTACTGTAGATAGACATTGTACAACAAACTGCTGTTTCTTATTTTTTTTATGTATTATTTCCTAATAATACGCAATTGCTTGTCCGACAAATGCCAAATCAGCTGGTTAGTACTGCTAACCTTGTTTGCCGAGTATTTTCTGTCTTTCTAAGTTTTATAAGTTAAACAACGAAAATACTCTAAAGGATACGTATTTAAGAAAACTGGCATTATATTAAGCTATTTTAATGCTTCTCAAAGAGATTTTGCTAACGTATGCTCGGAGCTGAAATCAAAACACGTGTAGAGCACTTGCAGTGTGCCCAGCTTTTGTTAATCTATTTACGAATTGCCTATTTAACCAGTCACAACGAGACGTCGACGGTCAACGCCAGTAGTTGACGCTACATGTGCTGCGCCTAATTTTATTTGTGACAGTAATTTTAATAATGGCGTCGTTATTTGTTGTGGACACTTCTGGCGACCAGCAATTATTCAGTGGAGATGGTCTACAGCATTCCGCTGCAGTATATAATGAGATCTCCAAGGGTCGGGAACTGGCTGTTGATCAGGAGTCTAGCGAAGAGGAAGATGAGCAAGATGATGAAATGGAACTATTTGGCGTTAAGTTAAGGTGTAAAGATGTTAGCAAAGTTCTTGCTACCGCACAGGAAACTAACAAACAACTGCCTTCCAAAGTGGCCCTTCAACTTGATGAGGTTGCTGAGATGGTGAACGAAGCGGCACAAAATGCAGCCACGCACAAGTTACAAATGCGTCAGAGGATCACAGAAATTGACAGCGAGACCAGCGAGGATATACAAGTGCGAAAAATAAATCTTGAAAAAGATATGCAAAATACGAAGCAATTAACCGGCATCGAAGCGCAGAAGGCATTACCCACAGTGTCCAGGCGTAAGCAGCCCATACTAAATAGAGTAAGTAATTAACTAAAACGCTGAAGTGGAAGATTATACAGGAGAAGCATCTATGATGACATATTCGACAACCGAAGCTACGCCCAACGGGTGTGGCAAGCGCACACGTTTGCTGCTCGAGGTGACTGCTGTTACCCGAGACTCACTCACAGACAATGGCACCGAGTTTCGTCCGTTGTAATCTTAGTGGCCGCCTCGGAGTATGCGACGGTTGCTGTAAGGCCGACGGAACAGCAATGCCATTTAACGCTAGACTGTTGTTTGCTATTGAGTCAAGGCAGATGATTTAGGCGTGGGCACACAATTTTAAAAAAATAATGAAACAGTGCTATTGTCGCCCCAAATACAGCAGTCGCCGAGGCAGACGCTGTTGCCACATTGATGACGTCTTTAGTAATCTGAGTGCTGCTGCTCCTGGCAAATGAAGGCATCAAATTATGTTTTCCTCTACATAAACGTACTTTGTTTATTACAGGCGGAACGTGCTAAGACGAAGGGTAGCGGCTGGTTTGATTTACCGGCAACAGAAGTTACTGATGAGATGCGGAATGAGCTGAAGATAATACAAATGCGTTCGGTGCTGGATCCTAAGCACTTCTACAAAAAGAATGATCTGAAGGTGCTGCCGAAATACTTCCAGATTGGCACAGTTCAGCACTCGCCTCTGGATCACTTTGAAGAGAAACATATCCGCAAGACCAAAAAGTCACTGGTGGACGAGCTGTTGGCAGATGAAGCCTTCCAAAGTTTTAACAAACGAAAGTATAAGGAGGTGATAATGCGAACAGATAAATACGCTCATCGCAAGGCCATGAAGAAAATGAAGAAGTTGAAGAAAAATAAATAAGCAAAACTTGTAAATTGTATTTTAAAACTAGTTTATAATGCAGGGTCAGTCAAAACTTTTGTAGTCTCAGAATTCTCTTGTATAACCAAAGAGGATCGGCAATTATTTGATTACAGACGAAATATTAGTTTCTATTATTTATTTGTATCATTAGCTGTTTCATTTGTCTCTTGCTTCTCTTGCAATGTACTCCAAACCTGAAGCGCCAGTTTATTGAAGAGCTTGGCGTGTTCAGAGTCTGGATGCTTAATAACAACAGGTGTGCCCGACTCGCCGCAATCGGCTATATGTGAGTCTAAAGGCAATGAGATGAGCGTCTCTGGCAGCTTCGGATGTGAAGATTCAGTTCGAGGCTTGAAAAACTCGATGTGATGATTGCAATTATCACAGATGGAATAACGCATGTTTTCTACCAAGCCAAGGATCGGTACTTTCAGTTTGTGGTACATCTCAGCTCCACGAATTGTGACATCGATGGCTGCCTTGTGCGGTGTGCTGACTAAGAGGACACCTGTAATAGGTGTGTGTTGTGTTAGTGAGAGATGCACATCACCAGTGCCAGGCGGCGTATCTACGACCAGCACATCCAACGGACTCCAATCGGCGCCTTTAAGCAGGCGCTGTATGGCTGACATTACCAACGGACCGCGCCATATAATTGCACCATCAGGCGGCGTAAGCATGCCCATTGACAGGCACTTCACATTATAGTTCTGTGGCGGTATAATTTGATTTTTGTCATTGACTCGAGGTTCGCTGTGGAGGTTCATCATCAGTGGAATACTTGGACCAAATATATCACCGTCCAACAAACCTACTCGCGCTCCTAACCTGGCCAAACTGCAAGCGAAATTTGCTGCAATAAATGTGTTGCTTTAGGTACATTATATTTAATTCAAATATTAAACACCCACCTGCTACAGTGCTTTTGCCTACACCACCTTTTCCTGATGCTATAACAATTATGTTGTTGACGCCGGGCAGTGCTTGCCGTTTAGGTAAACTGCGGGCCATCAGTGCCGCTTGATGATCCTTGAGCTTTGTAGAACAGCTCCGCTGACACAAGCGCATCAATAAAGCCATGGCTACTGGTGCTTTACCAGCTACTTGAAATGCTCCGCTTGCTTTACTTTTAAAAATGGTCAAGTCGTTATGTTGTCCAACTCGCCAAATAGTGATGTGAAGAAGTTACCGATAGCTCATATTCATATACAGAATAGCTTAATATTAAATCGTACATGGAGTGGCTCTTCTTATTGTTCTAAGAGAGTATTTATTAACAAAGCTCTAAAAGGTATATCTACACATATAATATTTATGCACGTTCATGTTTAAAACGAATATTCTACCGGCTAGAACTTGCCAATATCACTAACCAAACAACAGTGGCGATATATAAGTCATCGGGATTTTAAGATGCCGCTTCAAATTATATGCATATTGGTCACATTGTGCGTGTGTTTATTATTTCGGTAAATTGCATTTGAATATTATTCACCCTAAGAAATTTAATTATGGATGTGGACGAAAATATCGAAACTGTTAATGTGGAAAATGATGATGATATACTTTGGTCCATTGAAGATGACACCTTGTTCCAGCCATGCGGTCTGATATGTCACTCTTCATCCAGCAACAACAAAACCAAATCTGTCTTCGTTACATGGAATGAATATTATTTGCTGAATTATCGCTTTAAGAAATCGAAGAAAACAAACAGAATGGAAATGACGAAGGTCCGCATTCCACTACCAAAAGGTAGTCATCTGCGCAGTATTCACATGCTGGAATACAATACTCTGCTGCTAATGTCGGACGGACGAGTTCATTGTTTTGGCTCGATCAAATCATTGCATCTCATATCCTGGTTAAAGGGTGTGCGGGCGTTTGCGCGCACTCAAGAAGGATTTAGTGTGGTGCGCTATGATGATGATACTCAGAAGTTGCTGCTACAGGTTTATGTGGATTTGCCCAGTTTGGGGAAGGGCGAAAGCACTCTACAGTACAGCTACGACATTACCTATGACGAACAAAATATATTTCAATGCGACTGGCAGAACGATTCCTACACCTTGCTCACGGTCACCGTTACGCAGGAGCACGAGAAGTTTATGCAGTGTCTCTTTGGAGCTGCAGCAGTTGCCGATAAGCAAATACACTTATTCAGCATTGCTGGTCACGTATTTGCACTATCTCCACAGGAGGCGGACGACGATGAAGATGTGGACACGGAGCTGGCCTACCACATTGAGCTGATCTGCATATATACCACACCCGTTCTTTTTATGCGTTTACTGCCCGCACAGAATTTGTGCTTGGTTTACTTGAACTGCGGCACTGTGGACATTTGGTACATGTCTCAATTGCTAGGCATAAAGCAACGGCAGATGCATTATACTGGTATCGAATGGTTGGACTTTGATGTCAGCAGCGACAATGGTGATTTCTACTACACGGATGGAGAGCAGCTGGTACGCTTGAGATTCAAATATGATGCCCAACTAGATGATTGCCAGGTGCAGCGATGTGTGAAGTCCGTGCCCGGCATGCAAGCCTGCGCCTGGGTGCAGCACATTGAGCAGCTTGTATGCCTCAGCGACAATAACATTTTTTATCGGATCGCATTTAGTGTGGATCAGCTATCAGACGAAGCTGCCGACACAGAGCCTGGTATCATGTGTGATCTTACACCAGCAGCCATGGAGCAACTGCGTCGCAATGCTCAAGTTCTGCAGCAATATGAAAAACAACAACATGAACTTATGGCAGCCATGCAGCGCGAATATGAGAAGCAACAACTGGTTGCGGTTGCTCGGAACGAAGCCAGCTTTGACGGCAGCTTAGAGGCAACACTGGAGTTCCACAGACAGCTGCCAGTCTTTGGAGTTGAGGTACTGCTGTTGCATACAGCCAGGCAGGCGCAACTTGATAGCACTGGTATTTATGCTATATTGCAACTAAGATTTAATGATTGCCAAAAGTTGCTCAATAGCAGTCACTGGCAATTGATGGTCTATCACGGACAGAATGTCCATGTGCATCGAATACCCACGGATTTGCTTTTGAGTCGCAAATGTAAAATTATAATACCATTGAAGAAAGTTTTCGAAGAGCGATTGCCCGAATTCACGATTCAACTTGTTGCGTTTCTGGAGCTGCACACACAACTAAGCGCAGTCCTGCTGCCATTTCAAGTGCAGGAGCACGGCGATACATATCGAGCGCTATTTAGTGGACAACTTTGCTCCTTAAATCTGCTTAATAAACCGAAATTAGCAGATATTGTGCCTAAGCCAACCACGCGTAAAAAGCCTAAAGTAGAACAAAAGATGCTGTCGCCTTGTTGCCTTACTTTAGAGCAAATTGCTGATATTTGTAATGCCAATGACAGAATTGAAACTAATATGCTAGACTTATACTTTCTAGATAGTAAAGTAAACATTTCTAGCAGCATAGAGGGTGGCAAAACTGTTTTAACCATACAAAGTGAAGATGTTACGGCAGTGTATCATCTCAAGCAACATTTATTTTTAAATGCGGATCCAGAAAAAGAGCCTTTAACAGCAGACGCATCGGCACACTTAAAAATTTTGGTATATATAATATGAATTAAAAATATCCATTTACTTCTACTAAAACTCTATTTTTCACAGAAATTACAACATGAAATTGATCGGTTTTATGGTGTTCAAAATACTGAAGAGGAATTTGAAGTGAACGCCCAAATACATTTAGAGTCATTGTTACTAAAATATAATACAATACGTAATACTGTTTTTTAAATTCACCAGACTTTTAAATTATCAACTTCCGTGCGCGCATTGAAAATGTTAGCACCACCGCGCCATCTAGCGTATTTTCTATACGCACACAAAGTTAGCTGCGCGTGAAACGTCAACGCCGCAAAATACGACCCTGCATCTGAGCGGCCTGTCAGCTTCTTCCTTTTTCTTTTTCACCTACGTGTGAAGACATCGCGTATTTTGCGTCGGTGTTTGATTTTCATTAAAAAGTGAAAAATGGTGAGCACAATCAATGAAATAACCCTATAAACGTCTCAAATCAAGTGTTGCCAAGTGAAAATATGTCGAACAAAACCAAAGCGGCCATTGATGCAGCTTTATTTGAGAGATTAAACTTGTGGGTTTCATGCCAGAACTGATATCTAATATTAATTTGTGTTGTGTATGAATTGCAGGGTTTCGTCAAGGTAGTCAAGAACAAGCAGTACTTCAAGCGCTACCAGGTTAAATTCCGCAGGCGTCGTGAGGGTAAAACTGATTACTATGCCAGAAAGCGTCTAACCTTCCAAGACAAGAACAAGTACAACACTCCCAAGTACCGTTTGATTGTGCGCCTGTCCAACAAGGACATCACCGCCCAAATCGCCTATGCTCGCATTGAAGGCGATCGTGTTGTCTGCTCCGCTTACTCGCACGAGCTGCCCAACTATGGTATCCAGGTAAATTAATAGATATTTTTATAATGCAATGCAACACACAGTCTAATGTTTACAACACTACTTGCAGGTGGGTTTGACCAACTATGCTGCTGCCTACTGCACTGGCCTGCTTGTTGCTCGTCGTCTGCTCAACAAATTGGGCTTGGACTCTCTGTACGCTGGCTGCACCGAGGTCACCGGTGAGGAATACAACGTTGAGCCCGTCGATGATGGACCAGGAGCATTCCGTTGCTACTTGGATGTTGGTTTGGCTCGCACCACCACCGGTGCCCGTGTGTTCGGCGCCATGAAGGGTGCTGTCGATGGTGGTTTGAACATCCCCCATTCGGTGAAGCGTTTCCCAGGATACTCTGGCGAGACCAAGAGCTTCAACGCTGATGTGCACCGTGCCCATATCTTCGGTCAGCATGTGGCTGATTATATGCGCACTCTGGAGGAGGAGGATGAGGAGGCTTTCAAGCGTCAGTTCAGCCGTTACATCAAGTTGGGCATCCGCGCTGACAACGTAAGTGATTTGATTTAAGCTGATCTAGACGTCCATTTTAAAAATTGCTGCTGCGTATTTTTTGCTGACGCTGGCTGTGCCAAAGATGGACCACATTGAAGCTGTAACCCGTGTTCGTGGCTCAACCTCTTAAAAAATAGGTTGAATTTTCTGTTACGGTTGCACAGTCCAGTCGTATATATGTATTTGAAATAAGCTATTGCTAGACGTCCATTTTCAAAATTACTGCTGCGTATTTATTACTGACGCTGTCTGTGCCAAAGATGGACCACATTAAAGCTGTAACCCGTGTTCGTGGCTCAACCTCTAAATAAATAAGTTGAATTTTCTGTTACGGTTGCACACTTCTTAATATAGAGATATTTTTGACTATTTTGTAATTGAATGATTTAATTGAAATTCTTTAATTTATTTGTTGACAGATTGAGGACATCTACAAGAAAGCCCATCAGGCCATCCGCAACGACCCTACCCCGAAGAAGGTCGTGAAGAAGTCGGCTCCAGTTAAGAAGAGGTGGAACGCCAAGAAACTGACGAATGAGGAACGCAAGGCCAAGGTCGCCGCCCACAAGGCCGCTTATGTGGCTAAGCTTCAGTCCGAGACTGAGGCATAAGTGCATTTGACTACCGTTTGGAGTGTGTGTATTGGGGGTGAAAGAAGAAATAAACACAAACAGTTGTAATAAAAAACAATTGCCAATATGTCGTGCATAAATTGTAAGTTTCTATTAAAGATCTTTTTATTAATTCATCATAACCTTGCAAGGGTTTTCGAATGTAGGTTATGCAAATTAAATTATTTTTTATATCCGCTCTATGAGATTGGTTGTTGCGCTAATACTGAGGTTGGAAAAATTCCATTAAAAGTATTTTACGTGAACTGGAGTGTATTATTTCTCGATATTTTTATAGCCTGTACGCTTAAAAAGCGTTAAAAGTACGACGAGTCTGCGGAGGGAAAAATTTATGAAGCTTAACTAGAGTATAGCTAATCAGGATTAACACGCTGAGGTGGCGCAATGGCAACAGTGCATGTCAGTTAAACAAGAGGTCTCAGGTTCAATTTCCAGTGGGCACCAACCTTTTTAATTAACATAAGAATGCATTCTGAATATATAAGAGGTTTGCAGGACGGTCTGTAAGGGCTGTGATGGCGCAGTGGATATGTGTCAGGTCGGTGGTCGTGTCCTCCCCAGGTTCGAATCGCGGCAGCAGATTACTTGAAATGTAGTAAGTCATCTAATTAATTGATTATGTATTCTAAATGTCCTCTCTTAGAAAATTGCATTCTATGTTCTCTTCGTAACAGCAGCGGGTAAGGTAAGAGATGATTATAAAACAAATATTTCTCTCCTAGATTTCTCTCCTCCTCTTCCTTCTTCGTCGATTACAAATATAGTGCATTCTTCCTCACATTCTGTTTCTTCCACCAGCATGTGTGGGGCAGAGACAGTGGTTAGAGCACAGCTGTTTACGAAAGTATAAGCTAAGTTGTGATGAATAATCAATGTGTTCCTAGATTTATCTCCTCTTCCTCCTCTCTCAATCAATGTCAGCGGGCGTGTGTATGTATGGCTAAATTGAAAGAACTAAAAAAAAAACATACGTACATATAGACGATACACACACATCATATATTAAATACGTATGGTTTTTTTTTAGTTCTTTCAATTTGTATAGTCCCTGTCGCCGCCATGTACTGCGATTTTTTAAATTCCCATTAAGAACAAAAGTGAGCTTGCGGGATACATCCTCTATATAGTATATGTATATATGTATGTCCTGAATGAAGCTATGAAGGATTGTCTATTAGAAGGATAAATGAAGGATTGTCTAATGTTGCCCATATTTTCAGGTAAATTGTACAAAATAAAACATTTAACATTTAATTAAGCGCGTATAATATAAATTCTCGCTATTGGACTTTATTTTGTATTAAATCAATAAATAAATAAACATATACATAAAATCAAAGCTTAAAGCTGTCAATCAAAATTTACACATTGCATGGAAACAAAACATAATGTTGAATGTCGCATAATACGTGGTCCAAAGCCTTCTTTCAGACTTTTTCCATTCACAGTAAATTGTGTCTTTCAATGATGATTAGTCGTCGTCCTCCAATATGCTATCCCAGTCCAAGCATTGGTCGCAACGATCGTCGAGCATGCAGTTGTTGTGGTAAATGTGGCCACAGTTGAATATTGTAAGGCCGTTGGGCGGCGCTGTATCCTTAACGATCACCGGACGGTTGCATTTGGGACACACCTTATCATAGGTTACCTGACGCCCGCGTCGTTGCATAGCTACTACCTCGGCGTGTGTATCAAAGTAGTCTGTTAATTGGATTTTATGGGCAATTTCGTGTACTTGCTCCTCGATATTATAATGCCACAACATCTGAACAACAGATTTATGAAGATCCGGTATTGTCTGGCCGAGTTTGATCTTGTTGACAACCAACACGGGGTCCACATAATCTACAAACGAAGATCAAGAGCTTACTTAGCTAATTGAATATGGTAAAATTTAATCGCACAACTTACCAACAATCCCATCTAGTAATTTGGTTACTATTTCAGGCTGTTTGGTGGACTCTTCGATGAGTATGTTCCAAAGATCCTCATCATTGTGCTCCTTGCAAAACTCAATGGCCATCTCAATGTCCTTTATCTTCAATGGTCAATGCGTTGAGCAAACGGTATATTGAAAGTCTTATACACTTACGCTGTGGATAATTATGTTAAGCGCCTCCACGATGCTGCCCATGCGACCCAATAAGTAAACCGTTTCTGGATGAAACTCTTCGCGTTTGCATATCGCCAGCGCCTCTTGTATCACATAGTCGTTAGAACGTCGCAGAAAGGGCAACAATTTGGTTCGATCATATTTGGCATACAGGGCAACTAGTCTATTGTGGAATGTGCCCTGTTTGCTGACTTTATCCAGCGCATCTAGGTACTAAAATAAAGTTGAGTTTAGCTTTGAATAGACTGCATTGTTTCCTATTACTTACCCAGTAAAGGTATTCCTGATTCTGTTCCAATTGATGAACAACCACTTCTGGTTTTATTTTCTTCTTATCTAATAATATTTTAAAGGCACGTTCGCGATCCAGTTGTATGAGTGGAATGATTAGCTTAGAGATAACATCGTACAGCTCAAAGCGCCGTATTAGCTCAAATACATCCTTATTCTGCAATCTGAGAGAGATTAGAGAGTTACAACATACGATTCGGAGATAATGTGAGCTTTGGCTTACTTTAAGTACATGCGCAACGCGCTCTCATAATCGCCTTGGTAGGAGTAGAGCAGTGCCAAGGACTCGAGCAACTCATTCGCATTCTGTTTTTGGAAATGATCATGTATGGCATTTATGACAGCCAGGCCATCGTACAGCTTGGGCGGCCACACCTTGATCAGATTTAAAAAGCCATGCACATCAAACTTAAGGAACTCATAAAGGACCATTTCGTAGACATGAGGATCTAGTTTACAATCATCCGAGGTAGGTAAATATGAGCTCACACAACGCAATTTTTGACACTTGACAAACTTGAAAACCTCCTCCTCCCAGAGAGCCTTATTGTTACCCAGCTCACGAAGGCAAATCTTGGCAGCGTCTTCGTACTGTTCCATGGTCAGCAAATGGTTTATGTACCGCCTTTGAAAATCATCTGATGACAGTAAATTATTGAATTTAATTTCATTCATTTCTTACCTAGCTACATATAGCCTTGGAATTGTGCTTCCATGTGAACAGACCTCCAAGGCTTCTTCAAATTTGCTGCAAAAATAAAGTAAAGCAATAGAATTAACATTAATTTACGATTTTAAAATTTATATGTATAACCTGAACTCATTCGTTCTTTCCCATAAATGTAAAACTAGATTAAGTTGCCGTTTAAGTAAATAAATTTTAAATAAAAAAAAATTATTAATATTTTTCTTTATTTCACATTGTTTTCCTGCAAAATATCCACTGTGCATCGAGGACCGTTGAAATTATCGATAAGCTAAACACTTATATGCTTCGATAGTTCTTGCAAATATCGATTGACCGACAGAAGTATCAGCGCTCAGCTGTTTATACAATTCGCGTCAATACTTCCCATTTTTCTTGGCTACTCGGAAATTTGTATTTATCACTGGAAAATGCGTCGCATGAATAACCTAGTTACGCTTTTTACGGCTATAACAGCGTTCTTTTTTGGTAGTTTTATTACACGCATTTTAACCACCGTTGACAAATGTCCGGCACACCGCAGCGGCGTTATCAAACTTGAGCCACATCCAGATCTATTTTTAGTGATACTGGTGTTGAGTGCACCAGACAATGCTGAGTTACGGCAAAGCATGCGCGATACTTGGTTGAGACTAGGGCAGCCACTAAACCAACCCTATTTTCCCGAGGAGCATATCTACCTGCCCAGGTACAGTGGAGCCGGCGGACATTTGCAAATGGAAACGGTTGCAACGCAGGAGCAGCGCCTGATGCACTACATAAAGTGGCAACAGGAACTGACACAGATGGACCAACCACGTGTGCATCGCAACATCAAATTGAAGCATTTATTTGCCATCGGAACACAGCGATTGAACGGCATATTGCGCGGCGAATTGGAGCGTGAGCAGCAGCAGCATAAGGATTTACTGTTGCTACCACGCCTGCACGATGACTATCTGAATCTGACAGAGAAGCTGATTCAGTCGCTTGATGCGCTCACACGTTTTTACGACTTCTCCTATTTGCTTAAGGTGGACGATGACACCTATGTAAAGCTGGACAATCTGCTTAACGAGCTCGTCTCCTACGACCGAAAGCTCTTAAGAAACAGAGCGGACTATGGGCATGACCCGCAGCCTGAGCTCTATTGGGGATATTTCAATGGGCGAGCTACCATCAAGACCAAAGGACGTTGGCGTGAGCCCAATTATTATTTAAGCAAGAATTACATCAACTATGCCCTGGGCGGCGGCTATGTTCTCTCCCGTAAACTATGCGAGCATGTAGCCAACCATTCCGATCTATTGTCAACCTATGTCTCCGAAGACGCTTCCCTGGGCACCTGGTTGGCGCCACTACGTCATGTTTATCGCTGGCATGATCCACGCTTCGATACTGCCTACACGCCGAGCAAGTGTCATCCCTATCATCTGGTGCTGCACAAGCGCAATGGGCGCCACATGGATGATTTATATGCAAACAAATTGTGCACCCATGAGATACCCGGCCAGCGGGTATTTGTTTCCTATTATTATGATTGGACAAAGCCTGCAGACAAATGCTGCGATACCATTGTAACTTAATTGAACACAATTAAGTGATCCATTGCCAAAGTTAGAAATTAAGTTTTACAATTTTAAGATATTTATACAGGACTTAATATGTAAATAAATTGCTCCTGTGGCAGCAGTATTATGAAATTGGAGGATCACATGTGAAACTCGGAGCTCAAATCGAATAGGGAATTCGGCCAATATAAGGTATATAGGATCTTAAAGAATATATCGGACTGGATGGACTTATGGCTATGATACTTTTCTTATGATTATGAGATCTATAACGCAAGCTTAGACCAAACTAGCAATAATTAGTTGACTTACTTGTGCTCGATTAGCCATTCCACACGATCGTCCGTTTCAATTAGGCTGGCCACCACAATATCTTTGGGCGCTACAATGTAGTAACGATTCTCCTCAATGATGCAGCCCAGGCTGTAGTCATTGACCGTGTACTCCTCAAATCCGCGTAAAGTGAGGCTGTCCGTACACACCTCTTCGGAGGTATTCATTTTGTACTCGATGACGCACAGCAGGGGCCGCTGAGCTTTATAGTTGGGACTGCGATCTTTTCGGTAGCCCAGCACAACCAACTGGCTGGCCGCAAGCGGGGCCAGTCCGCATATGTAAAAAGTCGTTTGAAACGTGGAGACTGAAAAAAGTGATCATATTATAAAACTGATGGAATAATATCATGTAATTATTGTACGCACTTGGATCCACAACAAAACCGGGCAAATTGCTCGAAGATGCTTCAATGCTGTTACGCTTGCGTATCACACAAATTCGAATGGTGTCCACCCAACCGATGAGCAGCGTGTTGGCATTGGACCAGCGCAGGTGACATCGGAAGTTCTCGAGACGTGCCTGAGCCGGCACCTCCCATTTCATAAGGCCTAGTGAGCATTTTTCGCTTAGATCATACACGCGCACGCCTATATGACTGGCCCACGCGACAAAGTTACCCTGCCAGCAAATGGCCAAAACGTTTCCCTCCACAGAACACAATTCGCTGGGCTTTAGTTTCTTGAGCAAATTGCGCTCGTAGAGCGTGAGCTTGTCATCACCTAAAATAAATTAACAAGTATAACTCAAAATGAAGAGAGGAGTTCTGTATAAAGTTTTAATCTTACCGACAATAAACCGTCGCACACCCGATTTGACTTCGGGATCAAGGGCCACTGCTTTTATAAACTTGCCAAAACTGAGGTTTTGATTGCTCTCGCAGCTGAACAAGCCCGTAATATTGACCTACAATTAATAATCAATTTATAATTGTATAGTACTCTCATTTTTCAACATTTCTTTTTCGGTGACTCACGCGTCCGTCATCAGAGCATGTCGCGACATATTCGCCCTTAGGATCGACATCAATGTGATTAACAGCTACGGAGTGTGTGTGGCGATCTCCGTTGCTCAGGTTCGACTCCACTGAGTTGCCTTGGTGATCCAGAAGGTAGACGCGACCTCGGAATGTGCCAAATATGAGAAACTGCGGCACCATTTAAAGTTCAACTTAAATATTTCGAAAACTAACTGAAACTTACCTTTGGATGGATGGCACTGCATGTAACAACGTCTGTGTTGAGTATATTACTCAGATCGCTCCCAATGCGCTTGTATTTAAACTTTGGCTCTATCTCCTCGTCCTCTTCAGTGCCCGAGTCCTAAATACAGGGCACATCTTATGAAACGTCTAAAAAAATTTTTATAAAGCACTTACGCTATTAACTGGCAAAGTATTGGCCATTTTTTTAAGCTTTTCGCTGGGATTCGCTTTCTTATCAAGACATCATTAAGCTAAAGTGTGACCGTACTCTGCATTCAACAGCTGTTTTTGCCATTCACATCTTCCACTGTGCACTCTATTTATCGATTTTTGTTTACACCCACGCGAGTCAAACTGCAAAAATAACTACTATATATCGATAAGTAAGCCGCTACCCGCCCAACTTTAAAAGTTCTGCATTGCAAACACATTTTGAATACTTTCTTTTCATATATTTGTATATATATTTCTAAAGTTTTATTGGTGTTTGTATAAATGCGCTTATTTATTGTATGTTTTTGTTTTTTGTTTGTTTATCGTTTACATTACAAGTGCTAGCAAATCATACATATACGTAAAACAAAGCAAAAAGCATCCGAAAACATAATTAACAATTTATGAAAATATACACAACATGCATTTATTCATAATTTATAATCAATTAAAATACTAATTAAAAACACTTTAAAAGATACCAATAAAATATATGTATATGTATGTATGTATATGTACCTTCTTTTAAAAAATATATATATGCGTTAAAAGAACATAAAATAGCGAACCGTAAACGGTTTGGAAATTGGAATTTCAGAAAACTGTCCGCAACATCATTCAGCGCCGGTCACGTTGTTATTCTTAAGTTCTCTAATTTAATTGTTGCAGCTGTTGTTGTTGTTATTTTTTCTTAACGGCAATGTGTGTAGTTTATGTGTTAATATGTATAAATAATAAATTAAGGCCTATAGAATAGCGCTAAATTACATAATACAAAAACTACTAAATGACGGTTTCCGAGGTGTAACGAGATTGCTTACACACCCCAAACGGCCATGATTCATCTACTAAACTCGCCGCCGCAACCATTATCATCACTGCCCATTGTCCAATAATGATCGAGGATATCTTCGCTGGTGAAACGCACATCCGGATCTGACTGCAGCATATTGGCGATTAAATCGCGCACACCATCACCGATGTCCGACCAGTAGGGATCGGGAAATTCATATACGCCCGAGATGATGGCATCAAACAGCGGCTCCTGCTGGTTATCAGGCGCAACAAATGGCGGAAAACCGCAGAGCAATATATACAATATGATGCCAGCTGCCCAAACGTCAATCTAATCAAAATATTCAGCTATTACAAACATGTTCTATAACAAGATGCATTTAAATTATTTACCTTTAGGCCGTAGCCCACTTCCAGCAATATTTCGGGCGCTACATAGGTGGGCGTGCCGCATACAGCAAACAGCGGCTCGGTTACCTCACAGGCCAAGCCAAAGTCGGCCAGTTTCAGTTGCACAACATTGCCATATTCGTCTAGTTCCACCTGTCAAAGCGGAGAAAGAAACATTTATGGCAAATATTGCAAGCCAGATTGAATTAATTAACTTACCAGTAGATTTTCGGGCTTTATATCCCTATGCACAATGCTCATGGAATGTAAATAAGACATGGCCGAGCCCAAATGTCGGATCATAATGCGTGATTGGCTTTCCGAAAAGCGTGTGACCTGTGTGATAGCATCGAAAAGATCCCCACCTAAAAATAAAGAGAACGAAATAATTTTAATTAGCATATTTTGAGAATTAGCTCAAAATAAAGGAGAAAACACAAACTACAATAATTCTTTAATTTTATGCAGGTTATACATGATTGGGAACGAAAGTGCGATTCGTATTCCGATTGGAATGCATAATTCCAACAGAATGTGCATTCCAATTCGACTATGAATTTCTTCATTCAGTTCATGCTAGTTCCTTTCTCATTTGTCAAAACAGGACTTACCACTGACATACTCGAGGACCAGGTACATGTTTATTACTTGATCGACATCCATGATGAGCGATATGATATGCGGATGCTCGAGCTTCTTCATGACACGCACCTCGGCGTCGATGTAGTGCTCTTTGCCCTTGCACTTGCTTTTGTCAATGATCTTGAGGGCATAGGGCAGGCCCGTCTGTCGATCTTTGATCCTAAGCACAACGGCAAAGTTGCCATCGCCGATCATCTTGTCCAGCGTATAATTATCTCTTATGGCGGCGGGCAGATCGCCAATTTCAACGCCCGTTTCCTTAAGTAGCGCCGCTTGCTCGTCCTCCTGTGTGGCGGCCGATGCGCCCGCTTCGCGTGCTCGTGCCGCCTCGCTCGAATAAACTTTTTTGTCCTTGACCGGCATCTTGGGCTTGGGTCCCTTGCATGTGGTGCCCGCTGTGCGCAGTGTCTTTCGTATGGCATTGATGGCCCGCTGCTCATCGGCTTCCAGCTTAAAGTCCTCGGCGGTATTCACACGCTCGGTGCCATAGGCGAAGAACACATCCTCCGGCCCAAAGAAATCCGCCAGCGTTGCCACCGATGTGCCCGACAAGGTGAACACCTTGCGCACATAGCCCGTATCCAGTCGCACCACCTGGGTGATGGCGGTTAGCACATGCTCGAAGCTGGGACTGTTGCGCTTATTCAAGAGCAGCCGCATTATCCGACGCGGCTTGGTGCCGTTCCTGATCAGAGTCACGATGCGCGGATGCACCACACTATTCCGTTCGCTGAAACGTGAGCTGTTCAGCGGACTGCCATTGGTGGCGCCAGGTCCGCCGCCATTGGACGACGGCGCATTGTTGCTGCCGGTGCTGCTGATCAGGGCGCCGTTCTTTAGCGGCGAGGCGGGACGCTGCAGCTTGGCCAAGCGGTGATTCGTGGAGCGACTGTTGTTCGCCAGCGTCAAATTGGCCAAGGGCTGTGAGCTGGTATTGTATTCCACCTTCTTGAAGTTCTCATTGTTGCAGGAACAAACATAGCTCTGGCCATCCTCCAGCTCGTCCAATGCAGTGATCTACAAGCAGAGAAAAATTCAATGGAATTTCAAAAATATATTTGATTAAAATTTCACTCACCTTTTTACCGCCCATATTGTAGATGGCGCGCACGGCGCCTGGTATCTTGACATTCTCCTCGAGCAGACGCGTCAGATCCTCGTAGAGGCTCTCAAAGGAACGATAGCGCTCATTGGAAACGGGTATGGTGATGCCCGGATAGAAGCGATCGCCGTTCCGATAGAACTTGATGCGATGCGCCTTGCGTGTGGGCGTGCGGCTGCTTGAGATGCGTTTCTTGAACTGTGCCGCGCCAGCTGCACCCGCCGGCAGGGCGGCACTGCCATTCGTTGCAGCCTCACTGGCGCTGATGTTGCCGACACAATCGCCGCCGCCTCCGCCGCCATTGCGTGCACTAGCGCCCGGCGGCGCTGAATTGGTTGACGAGGCGCCGCTAAGCGAGCCATTCGATTTGCCAACGCTGCCGCTGCCTGTGAGGGAGCCGTTCAGATCGCGCAGCTCAAGGAAATCCTTTTCCAGTTCCGAATTGGAGCTGGCCGGACTGTCACAGTCACGATTCTGTTCATCAAGTTGTTGTTGTTGTTGTTGTTTTTGTTGCTGTTGCTTCTTGGTGAGCTGCTCGAGGATGGCGACTTCTGTTGCGGAATTCTGGGACGAAGCGGAGCCGGCATTGGCGGCGGCGGCGCTCTTCTTGGGTGTTGCATTCGGACTGGCGCTGTTGCTGCCTTGCAGCGAGGACAACAGAGCTGCGGTGCTGTGCAGATTGTTTACCGTTTGAACTTCCATGCTATATAATTGAGAGTGAAAGAGATAGCGACACAATTGTTATGACTTGATCTTGATTTTGAGAAAAGCCTAAAGAGAAGCGTACACTCGATCGGGTTGCTTCACTCTTGATATTGTATACAACTCATATATCATATTTGGTATCATATTTTGATTGAAATGCGTTTTCAGATTACATCTCTTACGGATGCTGCTGCTGCAGCTGCATCTCTCATGTGTGCTGCTGCAAAATGTTTCTCTCTCATACTCTCTCTCTCTCTCTCGCTCTCGCTCTCGCTAGCGACAACTGCCCTGCCTTCTGTATATTATTGACAATTTAAAACTGCTGACGTTTCTAGCAAAAACAACAATAAACAACATTCAACATTCAACAGACAACATACAACAATAAACACTAACAAACCATATAAACAGAAACTCTTTGAAAAAAGAAACCGGTTTCAATGGCTCCGTTTGTTCAGACTAGAAAGTATCTGACGGATACATACATACAGTAAAAAAAAAATGAAAAAAAAAAAAGAATTCCAACTGTAATTGCGCTAATTTACGTAAATTGTTTGCAACCACATACATATTTTGCAGCCAAGTGCTGCTCGGTGCTTTGTCTGACTCGCTGACTTGCTGCACTAGATTCCAATGATGGCCCCACGACGTTGACCGATTTACCGTTAACAACAATAACAACAGCAACAGCAACGCGCTGACTCCGCATAAACCAGGTCAAGCCACCAAATTCTAGCTGATGATTCATATCGACAGAGGCGCAACTAACAGACACACCCAGGACATTAACTAAAGTATCTCGTGACCGAATTCGTATCCTTATCCCCATATCCATATCCATATCCGTATCCGTCCCCACTAGCTGGCTTAGTTTCTAGTCTAGTCATTTCCATAATGAAATCTGTTACCACACTCCCAGCCAGACCATATTTAGCATAATCCAATTAGGTTTCAGTACACAAAGTTTAAGCGTGGTCGAAGCAACATGATATGGTCTTCTAAGAGTAGCTTAACTTATTAAATGGTGAAACTTGTTAGGAATTTAGCCTATATTTATTAAGGTTAAATGAATATTACTTTCTAATAATAATATTAAAACTAATATTGATGTATACGATATATATTTAACAACAAGTTTAGTTAACTTTTAAATTGATTCATTAATATTTAAAATAAAAAGATCCTAAAATTTTGTAGATCGAATGAACGGAAGAAAGAAGGAAGAAAAACTATTGTAAATGAGCTAAGATTCAGTTGATTCAGTTAAAAGGTTTTTTTTTATTAATATTTTTTATTTTTAATTTAATTTATTTAAAAAAATTGTAACTGTAAATTTAAAAAAATTCTATAAAATTTTTTAATTCGATATTTTAATTGAGCTATAAAAAAGGTTGATATTTTTATATACATACATACATATATTTAGCATTTTCCCATTAAAAAGTTTCGCCGACAGCGCAAAAATAAAATCTAAAACGTATGCCATAAAAACTGTTATAAAAATATTCATTAAACATTTTTATCGCAATTAACTAAGTATCATTAAGTGTTATTGACTTAAAAAGGTGTTTTTGTACATTTAATTATCTGACGGTGATTCAATTTATTAAAACATAATTAAATCTAAGACTTTTGTGACATTTACTTAGGCTTGGTTCGCTGCCTGGACAACAGGTGTCGCTAGCTAGCGATCAAACGTTGCGCTGCCCCACTTGACAAAGCGGACAACTCGATAACTAACTGTCACGCTCTATAGTTACGAGAGCAATCAGTTACTGTCAAGTTCATTTATGCACTCAGCACTCTGGCGCGTTCCGCCACACATGCCACACTCCTCGTTTCACATTCCATATTCCGCATTCGACATTCCATGTTTCACGTCACAGTCTGTGCAAATTATTGAAATTGTTGTCATTAAGCGATCATTGCCAATTGAATGCCTGCCTACTTTGCCTCTATCCTCCGCTACTATAGCCCTGTCCCTTTCTCTCTCCCTCTCTCCTCTTACTGTATATGCCATCCTCGTGCATAACCGTTCAATGAGTCAGCTGTCCCCTTTCGTTTCCCTGCTCCTTTGCCAACGACCTAGCCTGGGTTATGTCAGACCGTTGCCTCTCCCTCTCTCTCTCTCACTCTCGCATTCGCCTGTGGCCGCGCCGCTGATTGAAGCTCGTTTATGATTTTTATATGTATGTATGTTTTTTTTTTTGTTCATCATAATTTTTATTCTTCACAGGCACGTTTCACTTAGCCATTGTCTGCCCATCGTTGCAAGCTGTCTGAATTTAAGTTTTATATGAATACCCTTTCGCCAGAGCTACAATGACTTTATCATGAAGTCTGTAATGCATATCCGGGTTTTCTTTTCTTTCAACCATCGAACAGAACATGGAAATTTGAATCTCTTTCAAAATACAGCTGCCAGCTGTTTCTCTTTATGATTATTATTTTAAATGCTTTTTTTTTTTTTTATGTATATTCGTAATATATTAATCATATTTCGAGTAAAGCTTTCAGCAGGAACTTGCAATGATTTAATTCAAATTTATTTATACACAATGTTTGTTAAAGACAATTCAAAGAAAATATACATACATACATATATAGGAAACCAACTAAATTTTTATAAAATAAAACAAATATATATTTCTTGAAAAAATTAATTGAATAGAGACTGTAATCCAATTTATGATTTTCAAAATAAAAATTTTAAAGTTACAATTTTTGTTTTCAACTAAAAAAAATATTTGTTATAATAATGCGTGTAAAAAATTACACATAAATTTTACAAAATAAAAGTTTAGATAAAATAAAAATATTTAAGCGATATCAAATTATATATAAAATAATAGTAATAAAATAAAATACTAAGAAAAATAAGTACTTTTGAGCATAATTAATCTGCATTAAATAATACAAATTAGATTATTAACTTATAATCATAATTGTTTCAGTGTATTTCAGTTTCGTTGCTTGCTTAAATCTTTTCGGTTTCCACTTGGCTTTTGTTTTATACGCAAGACGTGTGTTGGCTTCTCTCCACCAACTCCTCAGCTGCGCCCGCCTCCCCCGGGCTATCGCTCACATCCCTTGGAAAGTACTTTAAGCTTGATCGACGCTCAGTTTTTGTGCTTTTCGAGGGGATTCGCGTGTCGAGCCATAAATTTGAATTACGATATTTTGTATGCTTTGTTGCTCTTGTTGTTGCTGTTGTTTTTGCTATATTCATTTTGCCGTGACATGTTGCGGCAACATTCATGCCTGCCTGCCTGCCTGCCCGCATTGCCTTTCTCTCTGGCAAATGGAAATTTATGCCCAGAGTTATGACTGCTCCATTACCTCATTACCCAGCGCTATTATGACGCCACCTTTGGGCAGTCAACGTGCCGCCATATCGAGCGCCGTGCCTAGGACTGCCAGAGGCAGCGCCCACTTGAACGCCAAAAGGCGAATGGACAGGTAATTAACTTAATTAATGTCCAGCCAGTTGCCAATCCTCCAAGGAGCGAAGCCAATGCCATTCCACAAAGAACTTGTCGTCGTCATCTTTATTAGTGCAAATTGTAGAGAAATTTCATATGTGTTTCGCTGCTCTTTCTATTTGTATTTGTATTTGTTTGGCCTAATGGCGCAGATTTTGCCAATATGCTTGCCAAGTGGGTCAAAACTGCTGGCCAAGCAAGTGCAACGGTTCCCAAGTTCCATTGAGCATGACATTTGGCATTTTGTTTGGCTGTTGCTCAGACGACGATGGCGACGACGATGAAATCAAAAAACCATTTGACCTTTTTTTCTCTCACTCACACACACAAACACACACACTCTCGCTGTCCCTTTCTCTCGTAGCCCAAATAGAAATACAAACCAAAATGGAAGCCAAACGATGACATTTGCGAATGCAATGGAAAAACTATGACAGACCCAATGTCACCTACATTAGGGGTATGCACGCAATGAGCCATCAAAAGAAAATTAAATAAAACACCTTAATGCATTGTGTAAACTCAAGTTATGCAAAGACCTTCAAGCTGTTGAGATGAGGAGAGGGGGATAAAGAGAGAGAGAGAAGAGAGATCGAGCGCTAACAATTGTGGGAACGCATTCAAGTCAAGATAATCATAAAGAGAAACAATTTTTCACACTTTCTGTTAAATGGAGAACCAAATACTTCTTACAATCAACTTGAGTGATGTTTTCGAAAACTTCAACTAAATAGTTGTAAGCCGCTTAATTACATGCCAGCAATTAACAATTTATCACGAAGACTTTCATTGAAAACACTTAGATTTTTATCAATTCGGTTAACACTTGTGTTTTTTAAGTGCTGTTAGTAGAGATAGATACAAGAGAGAGAGCGAGAGAGATACAGAGTTTCTAAAAGAATAATTACATTAATGTTTATACAAATTTCGGACGTGTCGTCGATTGCACAAGAATTTTTTAGTTAAAAAGTTTTCTGTAGGAAGAGAAAAGATGACGAATTTTTAGGGAACTGTAATCTGAGTTAAATATTAAATTTATTTAGCAATTATTCCTCTATAACCAAATCAAATTGGAGTACTTCAAATATCAATGATAATTCTTCGAAAAGCTCATTAGTTCAGGTTTAATTTTGATTGTTTACTTATAAACGATTCCAATTGATTTTCGCCTTAAAGTGCGAACAATTTGCACTCTAGGGGCCGTTCTCTTAGTCTGGGTTAATGATATTTGTCTAATAAAAAATTTGTGATAAATTTCCAAGAAAAAGTATATAAGCTTGACACTGACAAAGTGAAGGCAATATAGGTGACACGGTTGGTTGGGATTGATCAGGATATACCCTGTAATTGTAATTATGTGCGATGTGAAGCGTTTTATTGATCACTGAGAAGACATCGGGTTATTAAAGTACATTTATATCTATATCTGTATATCTATATCTATATCTATATCTATATCTATATCTATATCTATATCTATATCTATATCT